ATGCTTTCAAAAAGAAAGAAAGAAAAATCAACGACAGAAATGCTTTCAAACAGAAAGAAAGAAAAATCAACGACAGAAATGCTTTCAAAAAGAAAGAAAGAAAAATCAACGACAGAAATGCTTTCAAAAAGAAAGAAAGAAAAACGAAAGGCTGAATATGTTTGAAAAAAAAAAAGGAAGTAAAATCAAAGGTAGAAAAGAAAAGAAAAAAAAGAAAGAATGAAACAAGAAGGAGAAAAAAATCAAAGCCTGGAAAATGATTAACAAAAGAAAGAAAAAAGAAAACGAAAATATCAAAGAAATAAGGAAAAATCAAAAGCTGAAAAATGCTTAAGAAAAGATAGAAAAACGAAAGAATCAAAGAAGAAATCAAAGGCTGGAAAATGCTTAACGAAAGAAAGAAAGAAAGAAAGAAAGAAAGAAAGAAAGAAAAAAGAAAGAAAGAAAGAAAGAAAGAAAGAAAAAAAGAAAGAAAGAAAGAAAGAAAAAAAAAAAGAAAGAAAGAAAAAAGAAAAAAGAAAGAAAGAAAGAAAGAAAGAAAGAAAGAAAAAAGAAAAAAGAAAGAAAGAAAGAAAGAAAGAAAGAAAAAAGAAAGAAAGAAAGAAATAAAAAAGAAAGAAGTGAAAATCAAAGCTGCAAAATGCTTAGCCAAAGAAAGAAAGAAAATGGTAACAAAGATAGAAAGAAAGTATGGGCGGAAAAATAGAAAAACAAAGAAAAGATTAAAGACTGAATTGTTTTACAAATGGAAAAGAGCAAAAGAAAAATCAAATCTAAAAAATCCTTACAAGAAATCAGTAAAAAATATCTAAAACTTGGAATATGTTTACAAAAAGAATGAATCTAAGAAAAGTAAAGGTTGAAAAATGCTTTCAAGAAGAGAAATGGAAATAATAAATGAGAGAAACGTTTGAAAAGGAAACAAGTCGAGAAATTCGAAAAATGGGTATTTAGTAAATGTTGCTATGGAAACTTAGTTACATGACTGCTAAGACCGTATGTTCAGGCCACCAGTTTCGATCAAATTCATTGAAGCTTTACTTCCGGAGTAAAAAGAAATGCTGTGACTTCTGTGTGATTTTTACCATAATGATAAAAGAAAGAAAGTGAAAGAGCAACAACTCTGAAAAGAAAGGTTTAAGAAGCATATCAAAACAGAAATTAAAGAACATGAAGAAGACAATAAATTTGTTTACGTTGTCCCTTGTCTTAACCAATTTCTTAAATTCTACACAAGAACAGCAAGAAAAATGTCAGAAAAAATGGCGGAAGACATATTACATTAATGTTTCGCTGAGCGTCTCTAACAAATTCTAAAACATAAAAAAATAGTTTCAATATTTCTATTCTGACTCTCATGTAGTCATTTTTTCCGAAAAGTCGTTGGCGTTGCTTGTTCTAAGCTGAGCTTTTTCACTGACTTTGTTAGGTTTCATCAGTTTTTATCGGACTAAGTACCTCGAATAGAATCCTGAGAAAAAATATTTTCTCGTATAATTATAAAACTTGTAAAATGTTTAAGTATTATTAATTGTTCACTAATATTTCTTTCATGTTAATTTTTATCGCAACTACGCAGACCGTCAATCTACAGCTATAAGTAAACAGCGGAGATCGAAATAAAAAATATCCAATTTTGCTTCAGGATGCCTGCCTTTTCTTGCAGCTGTTATTTAGACAGAACTTCTTGTTTGTTAAAAAACAGATCTAACAATATATATTTTAATTTCTTCGAACTATTGTTCTCTCTCTCTCTCTCTCTCTCTCTCTCTCTCTCTCTCTCTCACACACACACACACACACACACACACTCTCTTACTCAGACCCAGTTATTCGCACTTACACTCATTCACACACAATCTCTCTCCATTATTATAAAAATTTCAATCCTTTACCTTCAGGCCATTTTCAGGTTTCTCTGTTTTGGGAAATCTGTTGACTACGAGTCTTATTTTGATTCCACTTGTTAGTTTCTGCTGAACCAATGTATATTATTTTATTGCCTGGTCAGAGATTGAACTCATGATCTAGATGACAGTAAGACATTTTTAAACCTTATCCACTTCTCCATCGCCCCGAAAAATACCAACAGTGCATATTCGAAGCCTTTATTTTCAATTGTCAGATAGTTTCGACAATTAGTTAACATTTTGTTATCACAACAATTAACAAGTATCTCACACCTGACAATGGACACCTGATGATGACCAGACGTTTGCTTTTTTTTTGTCTTACGGCATATCAACCTCAATGGGTTATTTAATGCCGACAAGGTTATTATTGCTGGTAATGTTTTTCTTCAAAAATTTATTGCTAATAATATTTTTTTTCAAAAATATATTGCTGGTATTTTTTTCCAAATTGTATTGCTAGTAATATTATTTTTCAAAACTGTATTGTTGGTATTTTTTTCCAAAAACGTATTGCTGGTAATTTTTTCTTCAAAAATGTACTGCTGGTAATATTTTTTTTCAAAAATGCATTTCTGGTAATATTTTTT